ATAGCTCTCACAGTCCAGGAGAAAAAGTTGTTACCCAATGAGGTGTGCTGTCAACATATGGAGGCCTGTGCTACTGGAGCAGTTTTCATCTTCATCCAGAAGGAAAAAAGTCCTCTAAGATTCTGCCAAACACATGATTCAATTTAGGTCAGAGCTCTCCTGCTCAAAACACCTTAGACACTGATGCTGCTTGGAATGGACTGGCTTGTTACATCTTTTCAAATATTTTTCAAAGAAGAAAAGGGTTGGTAGAAGGGTTTTTCTTTGTTTTTTTCTCCAGCTGAATGACTTTTTTAGAAGGGTGCTACACTACGAACCTTCGGAACACCTGGTCAGGGAGGCGTTAGGGAGGCGTTTACTACTAAACATCTTTATCTAGTTTGCGTCAACTCCTTTTTATTCTCCACATCCCAAACTACCTTCAAGCAAGTCTGAAGCCCTAAAATCTGTGAGTACTGTTAAGGTCCCTCTTCAGCGCATGTCAGTACCTAAGATTTTAACGGGCATGGAAGACACCCTAAAATGGTCACCCCAGAGATGCCCATCCACTGATGGCTAGGCACCTATCTTTGGCCTCCCACCTTAACACCTATTACTAGATAGCATAAAGCTGGGATATGATGTTTAAGTCCTATCCAGTCTCCATTGATGGCCCATCTTCCATGAAAGCTGGGTGAATTAGATGAGTATAGAGACAATGTAAAATCAGATTCAGGATTCCCACTTCCACTTTCACATTTCTGCCTCAACACTGTACATGTGAGATTTACAAAAATACTACAAATACATAATTTTTTTTTAAACACATAGACAAACACAGGTTTAGAGTGAAAAAAAAATCTGCCTGCATGACATCATACCGCAACTCTCTATCACTAAGGACTGTATTTCTTCTTATTTAAACCAGGTTATTCTGATTCAGTATGAATTCTGTTCTCAGAAGCAATGGAAACAATAAACTAAATGAGGATTAAATACCAGATCTTTTCATCCTTCACTGCATTAAAAGACCAAAATAATCAGACTTTCAAGTGCTATGTCAAACTGTGCAGAGCAGAAAAGCAAACTTCTTGCTTTTTTTGGCATGGCAAATTCTTTACAGCTTATACTTGTTGTGAGTGGGAAAATACAACACTGCATTTTCTAACCCAATAGATCATTTTCCTATCCAAAAAAGGACAGCTTCTCCTGTACACTTACCAACTAAGGACCACTTTGCGGGAAGTACTGCTTTATCTATCTTCTCATTGTAAATAGTTATTTAACTTCTTTAAACTCTTCTCCAACAAAGGAATAATTTTGATGTTGAGTAATTAAGCAAGTGCTTTGTCAAAAGAATAATATTTAAAGTTTTCTGGTGACATGGAAAGGATGAAATACCTTAAGTTAAAAAGATGATATCTGGAAGTCAACAATTATATGCGATTGTAACAGCATAAACAAAGTCCAAATGGTGCTTCCAGTATTAATCATTGCAGGCTGACCCAATTTATTGCGAGAGACTCAGGCTTAGAAACAACCTTGAGTGAATGATCACTCCAGAAGCGATTCAAGGTAACTGGCAAACACCAAGACAGGCTTCCGGCTCGTTACTATCAGTAACTGGCTATAACTACGAAGGAGCAGGTTAAAAGCACCGAAGGGGTCCAAGACAAGAAAAATTCAGTAGCGGCTCATGATTCTAGGGGGCTGAACCAATTCAGCTGAGTCAGTTAGTGCTTGGTGAAGATCAGGAATAGTTAAGCCTTTGTTATTTGGTCATCTAAGCCTAGGGCACCCTAAAAAAAATGTAGTCACTACTCATGATCCCAGCCACTGAGAAACTAAATTTGTTTCCAGGCTTCAGTACTTAAAAGGGGTTTGGGGAACTAATTGAAGAATTCCATCTAGAAGTGGAGAAAATAACTGTCCGATAACTACCGGACAGGTTAGCAAAGCCAGATACTAACTTTGCCAAGGTTTCATTCAATTACTCTGTTTCTCAAGGTATTATTGCTTATGCCTTAGAGGCATTTGGCAGGTGATCTCTTCAGATACAGGAAGAAGAAAAGGAAAGCCTACATATGGATGTCATAACTGAAACACTGCTCATCCGGTCTTTACGCTGCTGTAACTTCACCTCCTTCTAGATGCAAGCCAACTCGGAAGGAGTTTCAGACACAGCATACACACTGGTGTGCTCCACAGCAGCAGATCCAAACAAGTTCAGCAGCTTTATGTTTTGCGATTGGGTCTTTCAGTGTCTAGAAAAGCATGCAGTGCAGCTGAGACTACTGAGACATGCATAGCGTCTCTCTCTTTAGATTTCCTGATGAATACACCAAAGAGTCACTATGAAGTCCCTTTCCTCTATCGAGATACCTCCATCGTGAACTGGATAGGAACATAGTATTGGAGGTCCTTCCTCCTCTGTGAAATTCAGCTGAAATTGGTTGTTGTTTGAAAGTGTCAGGACGAGGGGAGAGTGATAGGGAATAGCCTTGCTTATTTAGAAAATCAGGCTTAAAACTAAATAACAAAGGCACTGTCAGCCGTACCTGATTATACCAAGAGGGTCTAAAACTTCTTCCTCCTCTTCCTCTTCTTCTTTCTGCCCCGTCTTGGCATTTTCCACTGATGCAAGCTGTGAGATTAAGTCAAGCGTCTTCTCCTCTTTGAAGAAATCCAACGCTTCATTGTCTTCATCTTCTCCCTTGTCATCAGGAATATTTTTACCCTTGAAGTCAATAACATTAGTAGATTTTGTTCCTGTAAAATACAACCACGAATGCAATACTGAGCATACAGGATAACAGCCATGTTTTACTTAGTATCTTGCACATGTTCCTCATTATTTTGTTCACGGAATAAACTATATGATCAGCTTCTGTGAAACTCACGCAACATTCCTGACTGTCCCTTCCATCCACTGATGCATTATTATATGCCTGATTTGTTTGCTAATTTGAAGTATTTAAGTAGAGAAAGATAGAGGAAATGAACTTTATCTAAAATATATCAGCGTATGTCTGAACTGCTTATTCACATTCCTTCTACAGTCAATGGAAGCAAGAAAATTTCCAGATGGTTACTCATCTCATCCAAAGACGAGAAGGAGTTTCCCTCTGGAAGTGCCTGTTTCTTTCCACTGGCTACAGACAAGGCCTAAATACTATGCTTAGATATAGGTAGCTAACTTTTATATAGGTAGTTGAGATGAAGCCCACCTTTCATTACTAATCTAATTCATTTGAGCTAAAAGTACAGCACTGGATAGCATGAAAAGTAGCTTCCATGGCAGCTCTTCAACATACACTCCCACATGAAGCACAAAGTTTTAACTCTCTTCAGTATGCAAGAACCATCAACTTTGGAGAAAAGTGAAAAGATTTGCTTTGGCTAAGTCTTCTTACTGTATTTGTTATATGCAAAGCCCAGAAGAATAAAGAATACAACCATTCCTTGCTCTGGGGCCTCTGAATGTTTAAGAAAGCAATTTAAAACGATGAGACTAGCTAAAAATAGGCTAGTGAGAACCACAATGGAAAAAATTCATGGTTTCATCCATTTGACTTAAGGTGTCACTGTGTGGGAAACTCATTTCACACAACTTTACATGCTTGCATCTGCCTAGTCACCTAGGGTGGAATTCACTGACTAAATGCAGGCATCTACCCTGAGCAAGTGAGCCTATGCTCCCTTACAGACATGGAGCGCTGATCAGGTAACACAGTGGAGATTAGGACACTTTACATCTTACCCTCATGTAGACACCTACATTTTACAACGTGTATTCTCCCTAAACACCCTGGAATATATTGACTACACCTCCAGTGTCTGTAAGGAAAGTCTATACAATGAGCTTGAGGATCTACAGTGTATGCATCCTCACATGTAATTAGGTGAGATGAATTCCATCTGGTTTGTAGGGCAAGATTCATATTACTCTATAGCACATTTTCATGAACAGGTCACATTACTTGTACTATACACACAGTCCAGACTAACTCAGCTGTAGATATCTACACCTTATACAGCTGAATTAAGAGCAGAGAGCTCATCTGTTCCCTTCACTCAGTGACTCCCCCCTATGCCCAAAGAACACAAAGAAACTATCGCAATCATTAGAAGAGGCAACAGGAGTCGAAAATGAGGTCAAGGAAAAAAAGAGCTTAAGAGGCCAGAGAATGGGTTTAATTAGTAAAGCATCAGACTGTTATTCACATCTTTTTCTAGGTCAAAAATTTGCTTCAGGACCCTCTTCAGCAAGGCCTAGCAGTCTTATTAGGAACAAAAAAGCAAGCAAAACGGAACAGTTGTTCACTAAGGGAGCCCCTGCACTGTCCCTTTAGGGTTCACCCACCTCTCCACTGACGACAGATGACTATTTAGACTTCTAAAGTCTGGTGTTCTGAATCACAGCTTAGGTATATGCCTAACAGAAATTAGAGATGCCACCAAGGGTGGATACCTTCAAAGTGAGCATCACAGCACTGATGCATCTGAATGAGGCATGTGCCCTCTGAGGAGGAGGAGGGGAAAATAACAGCAACCATGACTGTGCAGAAGTACAAGGGACTGTTTCCAGTGACAGCCTTTATTCTGGCATTCTCTAGTTTTTTGACTACCCTTGTCAAGAACTTAATCATGCTTTTATTAAGCACCCTCAAGGGAGAGGGGACACTCACATCTTTTAGTTACCTAAGAATTCCAGTAACTCAGGACTTGTTGCTAGCTCCTCATCTTTTGAGATGAATTTCATAATATCATTGAATGTTGCTCTTCGCTCACAAATGTCAGATTCCCCCACGAAGATAACTTTTCTAGGTAACAGTGGAAGAGAAGCCTGTGGATATCGTGCTGCCAGCCTGTGGTAGAGCTCTTCTATCTCGCTGTACTTCTTGGAAACCTGCAACAAAATACACTACCTGGGTAAGTTTCTTTACAGGCAAGGGGAAGACATAGGCATCAAGCAGCAGTTTAAGCACTGTGAAACGTTAACCCAGGACACTGAAGTGGAAGAACACGTATTACCAACGAGCTTTATATATGGCCTGGTAAAAGCTTGTTATCTACAGAGTGCATCTCCAGGTACTGTTGCCTGTCTTCTAATTCTGCTATAAAGATCTGCTCCTCTAATGAAATAGAATTTAATTGCCAGATACCTAGAGTCCATTTGTCTGAGTCATCAGCTAATAAAGGGAAGATCAGAGCTCCAGATACTTCTTTCTGATAGCAAAAATTCTTGTCCACTAAAAATGAGCTATTTGATGCCTAGCCCCAAAAGACGGGAAGGGAAGAGAAGCCTAGCTAAGTAGGTATGCGACTGAGAAAGCATCAGGAATCTTTTCACCACTGTGCCAGAAGACAAATTTTTCAGCCCTGGTGGGCCGCTGTGCACTTCTGGCTCTTAAGGCCTGATCAATGGCCACATTTGCTGCCCTGCTAGCACCTAATACAGAAACTAGGACAGAGACCTCAGCTGAGCCCTGACTGTTTAGTTTAGCCATGAAGGGGGAAAAAAATAACAAAAAAACCCCAACAAACTAACAACTTGGCTGTGGTCCCCAGATTCTTATACAGGGAGCAGATGCCAGCAGCGCATAGAGCCATTCCTTTTGCAGACAAATATGGGCAGTTTGAGAAGAAATGTGGCCCAAGATACTACAAGGAAAGCAATAACCACAGGAACACTGTCTAGAAACAGGGTGGAGTCTATGCCACATTAAGTTTTGAATTCAAGACTGGACACCTTAATAAGAAAAATAAAAAAATAGAAACAAAACACTACCTTTAACTGACATTACAGGCATAATGGAGAGCGACTGTCATGCTCTGTGATCGTGCACTATACATAGGCCCCCTATGGCCCCCAAATCTATTAATGTGTTTAAATAAACACTGAGTTAGATTTAAAAAAAACAACCAAAAAAAAGGCTTCAGCGTGCTTACGAAACAGATCTTTTACTATGGTCCAACCCTTCTTCTGCAACATGTGTTGGTGAACTTTAGTGGAATGACTTCTAATTAACAGTGAAACACATGAGATAGACTCAAGCAGCACATTTTGGGATGGAAGAAAGCAGAATACTTCCACCAACACAGTGACAAAAGCAAGTCAACCAAACCAAAAGCACAGAAACAGAGGAGAAAACGAATTAATCCAGAACGCACAAGCTACGCCTATACTAGCAAGCTACATAATGTTAGGGCATATTTCCAAGCACTGGAACGTGATAGTGTCGACACTATCACGTCACACTGGAACATGATCCAACCTGAACCTGTCACTGGCACTGTTTTGGTCTGGGCAACTGGCACTTTTCCAAGTAACTTTCCAGTTCAGGATTCAGCCCAGTGCAGAGATCATTCAGTAGCCAGCTTGGGTACTGCCACTTGTGGATGGGTAAGAGAGTTTAATAACACAGATACAGCCAGATTGTGCTAACCGGCCTCCAGGCCAGAGAACAGGTCCTGACATTAACAGGCACACCTAGACTAATTTGCTAAACTAGACACAGCCATAAAGAACAGTAAGCAGCTCTATCAGAAAGATCTGAAGAACAGAAACAAACTAGACTTGACAGGAGAATGAGCAACAAGAATTTTAGACTTGCCTCCTGTAAGCAACACTCTGCTCTGCATGCAGGATCTGAAACGCAATGCAGCAGTCAAGCACCAAAGAGATGGAAAGAAACAGATACTCCCAGAACAAGACAATCTTCCTTTTGAAAGGCCCACAAGACATACAGCAATCCTGCAATTTCTGAACTGCTACACGTTTCTAGTTTGCTAGGTCCCAATAGCACCCTGAACAGGGTATGATACCAGAGCCCCTCCCAAACAAACTGAGCATGACTATAAGAGCAATGAGGAATTTACTCACTCTTTTTCAAAAGAATAAACAATATTACTCCCTGTCCAGAAAAATAATCAAGTCTTATTTGCGAAAAATGTTTAACATGTAATTAATTGCAATAATAAATAACAAGTTGATGTCTGAAAGCATTATAAGTCAGCAGCCAATCAACAAAACTATGCCAGAACAGTTTTAAAATAGTCGAAAAGGAATGCC